TGGAAAGACAAGACCTTTGGCTATACATCTTTTTCGTATTTCATGAAATTCTTATCACACTTATGTAATGGCAAAGCTAATATTTTATATAGCAGTTGCATAACCATTCTAGACTTTTCAACACCCCACAAAATCCTAATGTAAGGGGCCTCTGGTGGCACAGGAGTTAAAGCGCAGTACTATGAAGTATTCTGCAGCATGAATTCAATCCCCGGCAAGGGAAGTGACCCACAAGGCACAGCAGACCTCTCCTGTCTCACCTGCTGCTCTCCTCAGCAGTGTATTTTAGTGTTCTACTCCGTACTCTGTTTCTGGTGACTCCTCCTCACTCCTGACCACCTCTGGCCCATACTCTAGTTCTTATATGCATAAATAAATAAATATTAAAAAAAAACCCAACCCTAATACCACAGAAATCTCATGACCACAAATATCAGTTCCATCACATAAGTATTCACACAAAATCCTGTGAACAGACCTGACAGTTTTATTCAACCCCATAGCACCATTTCATCCAAGCCACCATTATCTCACATGTGGCAGAGCATTATTTCGTTTTTATCCTTACTCCCTTATAATCTACTCTTAATACAGAATGATCCTTTACTCATAATAACAGAACTTCTCTTTCTAAACTCACTAATATCCTGTCAACTGAAATACAAATTCAAACCTTAACACTGACCCACAAGTGCTATATTGTCCATATATCCCCTATGTTATGTATACGGTACATTTCCTTATCTATGGTCTCACTTTTTGTGATTTTAATATTATCATACTTCCTTTTATCCTCTCCTCTTTGGCAAAAACTCAGGGTTTTTAAGATTTAGAAGTTTTGTCTACTGATGGTGTATGTTCTTCCTCCAGAAATCTATCTTTCACATTCTTCCAACAGGTCACCAATAAAATGTCACCTTATCAACGAAGCCATTCTTAACCATCTTTATTTAGAACTGCATTTCTCTTCACCCCCACATATATATCCAGCACTGCCTAATCCTCCAGTACCCTTTAGTTATTTTTCTTGATAGCACTTATTACAAAATTAGTTATGTTTTCAGTTATCTGTTCATCCTCAGTGATTCTATATGATGACAAGTACTTACTAGTTCCAAAGGCTGTTTTATTCTGACCATATGCAAAACCCGAATTAGTAGTGGAGGAACTGAAGAGTCCTGTTGCACTGGAGGTGGCTGGGGAAGATCCAAACAAGCCAGTGGTGGTACCTGCTCCCACCTGATTCTGTGGACCTTTCCGGTTAGCCTGATAATCCTCTAAACGAAGTTCCTAGAGGAAGAGAAAATATACTTCCAACCTTACTATGCAGTCAAAAAGTTACTTAGAAGACTACATAAACTTATTATTCAAATCTATGTTCACAAGGAATCATGACTAAAACAGAAAACTGCAGAATAACCAACTTAATAGCATTATATAAGAAATTTCTAACGGTGTACAATGAACATTAAAATTCATATAGTAATTACCATACAATTAATTATAGGCCAAAAGGCCAATCACATCTTAACTTTTTTTTCTTTTAGGAAAAATTTTTTTTCTTTTAGGAAAAATACTATACATGTGTTTACTTCCACCACAAATGAAAAGTTTAGCTGATAAAAGAAGACGAATTCTGGGAAGTTCAGGAAATTTAGGAGAAGCAGCAAAAAATGTTATTTTTGTCTTGCAAGGTAAAGTTTTCTGCACACTCCAATAAATCAAGCAAAATTTTCAATGTAGGAAAAAGCAACAGCTATAAATAGGTATGATGGTCAAAATGGATAACGAACACAGCAAAGACAATGAACAAACTAACTTCATGCAACAACACTGACTGAGTTCACAAAGTTCAAAGACAAACTTAAGCTCCTAAAATAAGATTCCACCTTTATTAAGTTCAAAAATGGGGAAAAGATGGGTATGATTATGGTTAGGGGGTTGGGACACAAAGGTTGGGACATTTCAAATGCTAGTGATGCTAGCTCTTAATTTGGATCCTGGTTATGTGTATATTACTGATATTTATAGTTTACTTCCTTGTCTGCGGTTTCACTTTTTGTAGTTTTAGTTGTCTACAATCAACCATAATCTAAAAATACTATATAAAACATTTTGAGGGCCTGGTGGCACAACAGTTTAAAATGAAGCACAAAGCTAGCTGCAGCCGCTTCAGTGCAAATTCAATTCCTGGCCAAGGAGCTGACCTACATGGCACAGTAGACCTCTCCTGTCTCACCCACTGCTCCCCTCCACAGTATACTTTCATTAGTCGGCCTGTTCTGCTCCCCACTCTGTCTCTGGTGAATCCTCTCACCTGCCCTGCACCTCCGGCCTGTATCCCAGTTCTTTTATGCACAAATAAATAAATCTTAAAAAAAAAAATTAAACATTTTGAAAGGGAGCCATATTCATAAACTTTACTCTAGTATAATGTTATATTTTATTATTTGTTACCTGACTGTATCTAGTGTATAAATGAAACTTTTATCACAGATAGGTATGTATGTATGTATATATAGGAAAAAAACAACATATACATGGTCGAGTTTTTAGGCATCTACTGGCAGTCTGGAACAAATCCCCCCAAGGATAAAGGGGAACTACTATACTAAAAACACACACACACACACACACTCTGCCTAGTGTATATGACAGAGTAGATCGTTAGAACTAAATGGTATATGCAAGTTGAATATTATCCCTACCTGAAACAACAGATATCTATAAACAATTTTTTAAAATAATCTAGTTGGGTTTTTTTTTTTAACATAAGCCCAATGTGAACCATTTGATCCTTAAAATAATCAAGACCATTTTAAAATTGCTTTCCAATAGAACCAAAAGGATAGGCTGACATTCTATCTTGTATTTACTGACCTCTAGTGACTTGCTTTCATATTCTTTCATAGCAGTAATACACTGGTGCTTGGTACTGATATTAGTGCTTACTCCGGCTTTAACCATAGTATCTGTACCAGTTGGAGGCTGCAAAGCAAGATAAAGGCAAATTTGAAAGTCTAAAGCAAATATCTAAGTCCAAGCTTACACTCATAGACAATTCTTTAACCTCTGAACTCTGTAGCTGGTCTCAAAGGTCTTTTCCTAATGAGATGATTTTTAACAATGCTTGATTAAGTACATAGCAATTTTGATCTCTCTCTACATCAAAATTATCTAATATCAGGTACCTAACTAAGGAAAGAGTTACAAAACTTAAACCTCTATTTGAGTTTCTATCTATTCTGCTCTGAAGTATCTACTTTACAATTGTTGCTGCATTTAAGAAGTATTAAAATCTGTTTTCCCACTAAAGTTGTGAGGAAACAGGCACAGTAAAATTCCTGTTGGGCATCCCTGGTGGCCTAGGGCTTAAGTCTCAGCCCCTATCACTGCTAAGGCCTGAGTGTGATCCCCAACAGGGGAGCTAACCCACATATGGCTCATCAGACTTCTCCCATCTCCCCTGCTATTCTCCTTATCAGTGTATTTTAGCAAATCCACCTGTTCTGCTTCCCCACTCTGTCTTTGGTAAATCCTCTTATCTTCTGCACCTCTGGCCTATTCCCCAACATTTTTAGAAAAAAAAAAAAAAAAAAAAAAATCCTCATAATAGAATTGTTCTATTTTCTAAGAGACAACACAGTATTTTTCACTATCATTTATGTTTAACTTTACTTTCAATTCAGATTGTCCTCTCATTTTTAATAAAGAATGACTGGACAGTCAGAGGCCTAATTATAAACTAGTAAACAAATACAAGTTCAATCGTCTAGCTATTATAATTAACTTAGAATACAAATTTATCTATATTATAGTATATGTTATAATCTGAACTTATGTTTTAAGACTTTTCCTGTTTACTATTTAACAGCAGATCATGTAAACATATCTTTCAGGAAAAATGATATGAGCTGTGTCTGACTCAAAAGAGGAGAAATTTTGTAATTCATTCAGCAAAAAAAGAGGAGAAACATTCCACAAAATAAGAAAAAAATACTTACATTAAATTTAATAGTAGTCCCAGTAGGAGCAGCTGTAAAACTACTTGGCCCAAAGAGGGAGCCAGATGTGCTACCAAAAGGATTGGAAGTGGTATTCGTAGTTCCAAAAAGTCCCCCACTGCTAGTACTTGTTCCAAAATCTACAAATTAGAAAACAAAATGAGGTGATAACAGTAAAGGATTTAAGAAATTGTAAGATATTTTGGAATTGGGTGGTGGCACAGAAGTTATTCCATATCCTCAAATGTTCTACCTTTCTTATCTTCCTAGCAACAATCTTCAAACAGGTATTTCATATAAACATACAAAATCTAGGCTCACAACTCTGAAATAAAACACAAATCTGAATTCTTTTAGAGGCCATGAAACATTTATGATTTCTTAGAAGGGAGAGGAAATAAAAAGAAACAGAGCTTTGTTTCATCATAAATTTTACCTTCTTTCTCCTTTCTTGATAAGACTAGCTGTTGAATTAATTTGTCTTTCTGAAAACACAACAACTTCAGGTGTCAGTCTATTCTGTTTATGTATATTATTACAAGAACCCACATATAATAAAAAGTTTAAAGCAAAACAAAACAAAAAAATCCTATTATGACAACCAAACATGTTAATTCAAAATTTCACCTAGCAAATTAGTAGCCATGTTGATCATTTTTAAGAATAGAACCTGATTATCTACTTCTCTAAAAAGCTTTTTTAAAAATTAAATAAAAATGAATTTAACCATAATCGAAGAATTATTTCTAAAATAGGAGCCACTGCTTCTAAAGTTATACATATGGTGCCAAGAATGTCAGTAAGTAATGAAATGTTATCTGCCAACATTTAACATTAAGTGACACTTTAATCACCAAGTTAAAAGAATATGATCACTTATTGGCACACTGCTATTTCTTCTCTAAAATACATACCCTAATATACAGTTTAACAAGCACATCTCTTCTGATTTAGCATTATAATTGCATTTTATACTGTCATGCTTAAATATTTTAATACCCCACAAACAATATCCCTTTTAGGAAATACTAACAATTGTCTAACTTACTCATTCTGCCATATTCTTATGCAGAATGGCATCAACTCAGAGTGCACAGCTGCCTCACTAGTAATGGTTACCTCGAAGCACTATGTGAAGAAATATCCCCAGATTTAAGTCTATGTATTTACATTTAAATTACAGTGGAGAGCCATCAATTCAAACCATCAGCTATGGCCTTCAGTGGAGGAGTAACTAAATCATGTTCAGTATTTGTCATTTCTGCTTTAAATCTCTTCATATGGGGGGCTCCCTAATGGCCTAGGGGCTAAGCCTCAGTGCTATCATTAAGGCCTGAGTTTGATCTCCGGCCAGGGCACCAACCTACGTATGATGCTACAGACCTCTCCTGTCTTTGCCACTGCTCCCTTTACCAATGTATTCAGTAGATCTGCCTGTTCTGCTCCCTACTGTCTTTGGTGAATCCTTTCACCCCCAGCACCTTTGGCCTACACCCAGTTCTCCTAAGAATAAACATATTAAAAAAACATACCAACTTAATAAAAAACCTCTTATTAAATGTGAAAAAGGAAGCTGCCTCTTCACTGAAATACTGTTGATTACACACCTACTACCTGAAATTCTCCCATCTTAACACCCATAGCACTATGATCTGGCTTTTCATCTGTTTCTGCATGTATCCATTACGTACTAATGCTTCTCAGTTTCCATTCCTGGAAAGAGGTTCACATCCCCTCTGACCTATCAAACTTCTCAATACAAAAACATTCTTCTCCCTATGTTTCTGCTATCTGGTAGGGAAAGGAGATGGATGGATGGATGAATAAACAGAAGAATACAGAGAATCAAAAAGCAAGTCAGCCAATAAGTGTTTAAGTTCCATTATGTCCTACTTACTCCCAAAGCCAGTTGGTTTATTTTGTGCAAATGCATTACTCTGAGATGAGAAGAGACTGGTCCCTGTGCTTGCAGTTCCAAATAAGCTATTTGATGTTCCCGTTGATGTGCCAAACCCAAAGCCAGTACTTGTTGATGTAGCTGGCTGGCTAAATGAATTGGTACCAAACAAACCTCCTGGGAAAACAGAAAGGGTAAAGGGGGAGTTAAACAGAGAGGCTGGAGTTACTAGATGAAATCTAAAAATAAACCAACTGTTTTCCATACCTGGTTTGGTCTGCGAATTTCCGAACAGGCCTCCAGTATTGTTGCTAGAACCAAATGCAGATGCTCCAAATGCCCCTCCGCTAGTAGTACCAAAGCCAGTATCTGAAAAGCCAAATGCAGGGTCAGAATAAAACTCCAATCAGGTGACCCAGTAAAAAAGAATTTAAGTATTTGTTAACACTCTGCATTTAGACAGTACCACAGGTCTAATGTGAAAACTATTTTTTCAAAATTCTATCAGACTATTAATTAAGAGTTAAAATTAAGCCACAGACATTTTATTCACTGTACCCATATGAAGAAACTTATGTGCAAAGGCACCATTCTTTCTATTTTTGTCTAAGTATAAAATTGTTAACAAAAGTTTAAAAGCAAATGAATAATGGTTGCCATAGGCAACTAGTACCAAGTATCAAACTGGGTGAGAAGGGAATCAACTCTAAGGAGTACTGGGGGTTGGAATTAGAGACATACATATATTTGGATTTTTAAAAATATAAGTTTATTTTTACATCATTTTGTGCTTTTTTTCTTAAGATATTTTAATATTTAATAGTTCTGTTTCTAAACATCACACCTAATAAAGTAAATTCAAAACTAGATTCTAATTCATTAACTGCATTTTAGACTGAAATATTTAAAACATTTTCTGACCTGAAAATCAGTAACAAGTCATTAACTTTCTGCTTTAAGAACCAATTAATAAAAATATTTCAAGTACTAAGGCCTCCTGGTGGCACAGAGGTTAAAGACAGTGCTACCAAGCTGTGGCCAGTCACTGCAATGCTAGTTCATATCCCAGGCCAGTGAGCTAACACACAGCACAGCAAACCACTTCTGTCTAACCCACAGCTCCTCTCTGCAGCTTATTTCAGCACTTCTGCTCCTCACTCTGTCGCTGGTGAATCCTCCCTTAACCCCCACAACTCTGGCCTATACCCCAGTTCTTGCTATGCTAAGTAAATCTTGTTAAAAAATATTTCAAGTACCTTTTCACTGACAACTACAAAGCCATGAAAAGTCAGAACTTATAGTTTATTTTTTCAAAGGCAGTTTGTTATAAAGACCAATATGTGAATTAAGTTCAAAAGTGGATTTATCCTTAATGTGGATAACTTAAGATTACTCTGCCACACCTTTTTAAAAACTTACTCTGCCCAAATGTGGAAGTTGTTCCAAAGCCACCTGTGCCACCCCCAAAGGGTGTTCCAAATGATTTATTAAACATCTTCACAATGAATCCTCACTTCAGAGAGCTGGAAAGAAGAAAAGAGTTAATGCTTTTTAAAGACCAGCGAATATAAATGTGTAATTGTATAAACTTGGATCTGTTCAAACTAAAGCACAATGTTCACTGTCATTCAATATCCAAAAACTCTCTATAACAACAGACCTTGAACAAATGCATACCATGGGAAGTTAAATTCAGATTCTACCAATAATCATCCTTTAAAATAAAAGATGTATGGCCCTCCCTGGTGGCGCAGCGGGTTCGTGCCACTGCAAAAGAAGCTTAAGCAGCTTCCGCATGAGTTCGATCACCGCCTGCCCCGGAGGAGATCCACATGGCGTGGCAGACCTCTCCTGACCCACCCGCTGCTCCCCTCAGCAGTGTACTTCGGTAGATCTGCCTGTTCTGCTCCCCACTCTGTCTCTGGTGAAGCCTCTCGCCACCCCTGAGCCTCTGGTCTGTACCCCAGTTCTGTATGAACAAATAAGTAAATCTTAAAAAAAAAATAAATAAATAAAAGATGTTTTTCAAACTTCTCAGTGCTCAAGTCCTTTACAGTAGACAATTTAGTTCTAGATCCACAAATTCAACCAGCAGTTTGTTAAATCCACACTTGTGGAATTCGAAGGCATGAAGGTCAATTGTATTTACCGGGGTGGGTGGGGTGGGGGGGAAGCAACATATAAGTGAACTCATGAAATTCAAACCACTATTGTTCAGGGGTCAACTATATAATTTTTGGAGGTATTACTTAACTATATAATTTTTGGCATTTCAGTGTACCAATGTTTCATTAGCATTTGCAAGTATTCTAGCACTTGAAACATTATGTGCAACACTGAAGAAGGCAAAGCTGTCCCTAAATACCCAGTACTTTTATAAAAATCAAAATGCTCCTAGGAAAAAAAAATCCACTCAGTTCTTTATCCTAACATCCAGAAAAGTAATAACTTCTTTGACTAAGCAGAGCTCAGTGAAACCAATGGTTCAAGGTCACATCAGAACTAGCAAAGTTTTCAAAATATAATACCCTCATACCCTCCAAACTTCATTCTAGAAATAATCAAACCAAAATGTTAGGATGTAGACATTATTTTGAAAGGCTCAAATGACTGATGCATTCTTTTATAACAAAAGGTTGTAATTCACATAATACTTTTTCTTTCAGTAAAAGGATTTGCTTCAAGTTTCCTGCCTTCCCAATTTACCAGGTGTCAGAAAGTGACAGATTTAGTCATTACCATATTAACTGGTGATTCTTCCCAAGTGACACATTCTTGGAAGTTCTAGACCTCTGTGGATTTATCTAAACACTGCTTTCCAATAGTAATCAGAACTGATAATTATATTAGGGGTTGGATGTCCAGAACAACTCATTTGATTCTAACTGTGCTGCCTTGGCTTAGTTTTACTAGATGCACTTTTTTGTAACTGTTTTGTAAGTGTTTTGACCCATCATCAAGAAAGCAAAATCCAAGCTGAAACATAGTTATGCTAAATTTGTCATCCATATTCACCCCAATTCACAGCAATGTTGATGTAACTCTTGACATTTTCTATATAGAAGACATGTCAGGATTCAAAAGTTGAATAACAGTTTTTGTCTATTCACAAAAATGACTGGATGCAACTAGCAGACATTTGTTTAATCTGGTCTTATATATGTATTTTCTAGAGATGTGTGGTGATTTCAGTGCTAGTTTGAGTTTCACTAGCACTAGGTTCTATAGACTTAACCCAGTTCCTAACAATCAAAAAATTTTAAATGATCTTATCCAAACACACAATTTTTCATCAAGGGATTTTAAGTAGGTAAATATATTCTGGGAATACCTCTCAATTTACCAGCTCTTATGTTATATCAACGACCCTAAGACAACGGCATTATGTATCATCACCTTTATTTTATAGATGAGAAAATAAACTGATCAAGTCTTTATTAAGTTTTCCAAGGTCAAAGGAGGGGTTAGTGGAACCCTAGTTTAACTATCTTCTGATTTGCCATAGATATACTCAATCTTATGAAGGAAGATACTCAGCAACAAGCAAGAACTTCTGTAATGTTTGAAGTTATCTGTTCTGACACTGAAGGGATAAAAATCCAACTTAGAGTGAGCTAAGATAGCTCAACCTATCTTTTTTGTTCTGCAATGTTGAGCCTAGTTTCATCTGAAGCCTGATCATACGGGGATTCTAAGTGTTCTTTTTTTTTTTTAAGATTTATTTATTTATTTATGCATACAGAACTGGGGTACAGGTCAAAGGGTCAGGGGTGGCGAGAGGCTTCCCAGAGACACAGCGGGGAGCAGAACAGGCAGATTGACAAAGTACACTGCTGAGGGGAGCAGCAGGAGGGTCAGGAGAGGACTGCGGTGCCATGTGGTCACCTCCGGGGCAGGCGGGATTCGAACTCATGCAGAATTGGCTTTAGCTTCTTAGTGCTGTGCTTTAACTCACTGCACCACCAGGGA